CCCCAAAACCCCAAAACCCCAAAACCCCTTTCAAAGATAATCAGAATTATTTTTGTAAGTAATCAATTTAAAAACTTAATAATCTATCATTAAATCTTATCCTTCTAGTAAACCTTGGTCAATAGCTCAATTTATTCTCTTACATTCAATTTAAAATAATGAATAGGGCAGTTCTTTGCTAAATAAATGTATTTCTCATAAGAGATCACTACATTTTATTCTATCAGCAAGCCTTATCTTCTATTCTTCAAAGCATTCAATGCGAATTTAGTCTAAATGTTTATTTGAGGAGGTATTTTAATCTAAATTAAATAAAACTGCAATATTTTTACCTCTTTTAAGACTGGCATAAATTAACTAAGGATCTCAAAAAATATGTTCTAACTAAATGTTTGCCTAGGTAGTGTCACAATCTATATATCTAGTTCTTTTATTAATCTCATATATCTTAGTGCTAAGTCAGATAGAAAAGTAAATGCATCTTTAGAGGGAAGATTAATTGAAATCACTAGTTTTTCTAGTTTGACTAATTTGCCTATGTTTGTAAAATACTCATTTTGCAAATCGATCTCATCTTATTAACCTATTTTCCTCTTGAGGTCATCAAATCTTAATATAGTTATCTCGGAAATCTTTAAATTTTTGACAATTCTATGAACAGCAAGCAACTTAACAATTTCATTCTATTAACTTGAATTTAGTTTTGTTGAGTTAAGGTTTAATTTTGTTAGAGTCTTTGAATGAGATTTGATCACCTCAAAGATATTACTAAAATAATCTGATAGATCAAGACCCATCAAGTTAAGGCATTGCAAAGGGTTCGATTTTGAAAACTTAGTTATTTAAATCCAATTTTCTTCAAACTTCATTATTGGTCTGAATGATAATCTTTCTAACTTTGGGAATACTTTCCTAATAACTTTCGTGAAGAAGTTAGTTACATTAATATTCCTGAAACTCGGCTGCATTTTAAGTTCAGTGGTAATACTATTCTTTAACTTCATTATTTTTTTAGATTCTAGAATATTATGTGCTGGAATGATTCTGATATTAAGATCAACAATAAGAATTAAACTTTTTACTGATGAAGAAATGAAAGAAATAAAGTCAATGAAATTTTCTACTTTCATACATTCCAGAGATAATAATAAAGTGAAACTTTCAAGCTATTTTCCTTTCAAATATAGAGTCAAAGGCTAAAGATCTCTATGGTATTCGAGAAAATCAAAGGAGCTCTGATAAATATCAATTCTTCTTAGGGGTTTATCTTTCAGAGCTTTAAATAGATGGTTTATATTGATTTAAGTAGCTTTGATTTTAAGAGTGTGAACATTAGAGTTGCTAATTTTTGTCCCAAGTTCTTGGTAGTTATGTACTCTTGGACATTCAAATGTCAATTACTCTAAATTAATTGGTAGATTTTCTAAAAATTTCTCATGCAAAGGACTATAGTAATAATCGAGCGAAAGATTTTTGAGTTGCTTTGGATAGATAATAATTGTCTCAACTTTAAAATTGACTTGAGAAAGTCCAAGAGTTAATGAGGTTAAGTTGCTTAATAATCTACTTTCATCTCTAAATATATTTCTTTCAACACTCAAATGTAACTACTCCAGATATATTTGAAGATTATCGTGCTTAAACATATTGAAGAATTATAGCATTATTTCTAAATCCATATTATGTCTTATGCTATAATCTAATTCCGATAAACCAACAAGACATAGCTTTCTCAATTTTACATTTTTCATCTTTTCAAAGAATTTCTCAATCGCAACGAAATGCTGAAATTATGGATAGAAAATGTCTATTTCTGAAAAGAAGTTAGTTAGCATCATAAGGTTTAAATATGATGCTCCTTCAACTAGTGTGAATTTCCCTCTTCTGTGAAATTGCTAAAGCTGATACTTTAATGGCTCTAAATTTTGGTAGAGATAAATTCTAGATTATTTGCTCAAATTCCACAGATATTTCTTTGCATCCATTATATCATAGCTGGCTGCAAGAATTTCGAGAATTATATACTTTTGGTAGATTTTACCAAATTTAAGAGAACTTTTTTCCATTTTTAAAATTTAAAATTTTACATCCTACATTGTCAAATTTCTACCTCTTGGGGTTTTGGGGTTTTGGGGTTTTGGGG